TGCTGAACCTCTCTCTCCACGAGGACAACAAGATGCTGATAACCAATGCCGGAGCGGTGAAGTCTCTCATTTATGTGCTGAAAACAGGAACGGAAACTTCGAAACAGAACGCGGCGTGCGCGCTTCTGAGTCTGGCGCTGGTGGAAGAGAACAAGAGCTCGATCGGCGCGTCGGGGGCGATTCCGCCGCTGGTTTCGCTGCTTCTGAACGGTTCGAACAGAGGGAAGAAGGACGCGCTGACAACTCTTTATAAGCTGTGTTCGGTGAAGCAGAACAAGGAGAGGGCGGTGAGTGCCGGCGCGGTGAAGCCGCTGGTGGATCTGGTGGCGGAGCAGGGGAGCGGCATGGCGGAGAAGGCCATGGTGGTGCTGAACAGCTTGGCGGGGATTCAGGAAGGGAAGGAGGCGATTGTGGAAGAAGGTGGAATTGCGGCTCTTGTGGAGGCTATTGAAGATGGGTCTGTGAAGGGGAAGGAGTTTGCGGTTTTGACCCTTCTTCAGCTCTGTTCTGACAGTGTCTCAAACAGAGGGTTTCTTGTTAGAGAGGGTGGGATTCCTCCTCTCGTTGCTCTTTCTCAGACGGGAAGTGTTCGAGCTAAGCACAAGGTCAGTCAAATCAAATTAAACTCCTCTTCGATCATACTATCAAACTTCAATTAATCTTTGTTTGCATTAAGTGGGTTTTTGGTTTCACATTGAGTTATCATGTTGAAACATTTTAGGTAAGTTTTAACATGTTTGGTTTCAAGTCTAAAAGTTAGTTCTGGGTTTAAAGTTGATTTTGAGTTGAAGTACTTTAACTAGATTTTTTATTGCATAAAAGAAATTGAGATTTACTACTAAATTGCTTTTAGAATAAAAAATCCAAACATAGATGGTTTTACTACAAAATCAATTTTACAAGTGGAATTTCGTTTAAAATCATTTTAGCAAATGCTCACTCAGACACATACTAAATACTAATTTGATTGTAAGTCTATTTGACTGCAAGTTTAGAAGAACATTTGAAAGCTTTTTCTAAAGAGCTTCTAAACTTGTATCCAAGAGTTTTTTCTTAAGCATTATTATGTATTCCATGTAAGTATTTTTTTAATTGTATATGGGCACTAATGGTTTGTTAAAGAATGGATCTGGATATTAATGTTTCTGGCTTGTTTGTTTTGCAGGCTGAAACGCTTCTTCGATATTTGAGGGAATCAAGACAAGAGGCATCTACTTCGAGTTCTTAGATAAGTGATATAACATTGCTACTTGGGAAAGTGGTAATTATACAATGTAATTGGTTATTATTGTATATATAGTGTTTTTGATGGTTTGTACAGTGTGGCCGTGATAGTTGGAATTGGAACCGTGTTTCTAGCGAGCTATAGACTGACCCTTTAGATGTTTGGATATAGCCAGGTTTGGGAGTTTGCTTTCCCTCGTTTCAAATTGGTCGTGTTTCCTGGAGTTACATGATTGTCTTTTTTGGGTTGATTAGGTTTCTTTTGTTTAGATGACCCTAGTTTTGTGAAAAGGGGTTTCTGATTGTATTATTGTATGGTAATTAATTTTGCGCGCTCCTGTTGAAAAGTACGGAGCTTGTACTGCTAATCCAGGAATGTTCTGTGTCCATAATTTCTTTTAGGTCAACACAGCGCATGAGTTTCGTTTTATTTAATACGGCTGAGTGTTGTATTGCATAGGCTAGATCAACTTCGTCTGTTTCCACTGAAAATGGATACATATTTTTCATACGCAACGCTTGATTCCTTATTTCATGCTTTTTTGCCATGAATTTTTGGAATATGCTTGGCTTGGGAGTTCAGAAACAAAATATATGTTCTTGGCTAAAAGCCGGTAAAGCAGCAAGCTGCATAGCATCGAGAATTCTCTGTAAGGAGTAAGGACCAAGTCTGTGGTGATTTGCAAACAATTTCTCAGCATAAAACTGAAAATTCTAAATAAGACAGAGGGATCTTTACTCTAGGAAAACTTTTTTAATCTATGTTCTGAAAAGTGTAAAGCACGCCTCTGATAAATTCAGCTAAGATGAGCCTTTTAAGATTAGTTAGCTTTATCTGAGCTGTTGAAGGACCGTTTAGAGGGTAGCTTTATCTTAGTGGAAGATCTTAACTCAGAAGGAGAGAAGTGAAAAATTGTGTACATGTATGTTTACATGAATGAATGGGATGGTGGGGATGGTGTAGGTCCCCTTGGGCTACTTGTCCTTGTTGTGAAGCGGCTTACCCGCTGCATGCTACCATATGAAGTTCCATTCCATGTTACATCTGTATGGCAATTCAATTCCACCACAAATTGCATCATTTTAGCAGTACAATTTTTCCTCATCTAGCATCTTCAATTTTATTTCCTTTTCCCCTTTCAAATCTTCTTGTCGCTTTTAATAATCGCCAATTAGCTGGCAGAGCAGGTATGTTTTGTCCTGCCGTTTGTTTGGATGGTAGCACTTTCAAAATATTGAGGTTTTGAATAACCGGTTGTCGGTGTTCTCTTTTTTTTTTTCTTTCATTTAAAAGTATGGGCTGAGTTTTATATATATTATTAGGTTCATTGCTTGCATCATCAAAAGGCGAATCTGTTGGTGAGATGGCACTGGTTTATTTTGAGCGAAACTTTGAAGCATCTTGGAACGTAGGAGATCTCACTACTATAGTTGTTGAATTATCACGTTTTCTGTCACTAAGCTACTGCCTATCAACTCTAAGTATCTTGCAAAACTTCTACTCAAAGTTGCTTTCAAACGAATTAATTTTTTAAATCTACGTCATCTCAAGAGAAAATGAAAAATAAAATCTAGTAGATAAAACAGAATCAAACTATCTGTATCTAGACAGTATTGAACTGCTAAAACAATAATTTAATCCCTACCAATCTGTCTTTTGGGGGAGTTGTCTATAAGATTCATACACTTAATATTACTCATGAATTATTTCAATTTATGATCATATATATATTGAATAAGTTTTCCACTAATTCCGCTTACATATACCAAGGGGGATGTACGATAATGATTAATTTTCTTGAACGACAACTTTCTTTTAGTTTTTTTTTTTTTTTTTTTGTGGTATTTTAGGATGTTTAGTATTTTTTGTTTGATATTCATTATGTAAACTTTTCTCTCAAAACTAGTAAGTAACCGTGCACATGCACGGGTGATTTTTCTCTTAATTATTTGTGAAATATCATTATTTAAGCAACTCTGTATTAAATTATAATAAAATAATAAATAAAAATGTGCACAAAAAAAATACATTGTTAATTTTATATTAGATACAAATAAAATTCATATTTATTAATTATTGTAATATCACAAAAATTGGTCATTCTATCTTTAGTCAAAATCATTTAATTGAAGCATATATAACATCATATAAAATAATTGAAATCATGCAACATAGATAATATTGTATTTCTCAATTAACTATATATTTGAAAAGTTAAACTATGACAATATATCAAAAAATGAAGCAGTCATACATAATAACTGGACTTCTAACATAAAAACTTCTTTCTTTTTAGACATGAATTTTTGCTACAAATAAGACAAGTCACTAAATAATAAAACAAAGGCAAAAAATAAGAGAATTTTCATTTACTTGAACTAAAAATACACAGCTGGGCAATGACATTGTGTTTGCCATACTATTAAACGAAGAGTTAATCACTTATACACTGTCAGTGTAAAGTTTTTTTACACAAAAACTAATTATATCTTTTAATTGTGTTATGTCAATATAAACATATTTACTTTTAACAATGACATAACAAATTAAAAGATATAATTGATTATTAGTATAAAAAAAAAACTTTACACTGACAGTGTATAAGTGATTAACTCTTAAATGTATTACTAACCATTTTTGTTTGAAAAAAAAGGGTAAAAAATATATATATCACAAAAGTGTAGGAGCGAACTTTTGTTTATTGAACTAAAAATACACAGCATTGTCAAGAATGGGATCGGATTTGAACCTCCGTCCATAAAATAAGGTAAAGAAATAAAAAGAATACAAAAATGCAGGAGAAAAATTTTATTTTCAAATTGAAAATGCATTAACTTATATTGTCAAGAATGGGATTCGAACCCATGCCCTTTCGGACCAGTACCTGAAACTGGCGCCTTAGACCAACTCGGCCATCTTGACATTTGATGGTGTTTTGGGTTATATTTTATCCATCACTTATTTCATAAGCATAAATTCTTCTCATACACCAATGGATCCGAAAATCTCATTAAATAGTTTATAAGATTTTATTAATTTAAATTATAAACTATTAATTATTTAATTTTTATTTTAATGCATAATATATTTTTGGAACACTATTGTTTGATATGAATAATTTCATGTGAAAAGTATCATGAAATTATCAAATCAAACTAATAAAACAAAAACAAGTATCAATACGTACTATTAATAAAGGAAATTTTTTTCATTTGATATTCATATTTTTAGAAAAATTTATTTTTATAATTATTCTTTCGTAAATTATTTTCTTTTTCTTGTAAATTTTATGTATGTACTTTTAATAATCACCCATTATTATATAATTTTTTTTTAAAATAATTCACAGGAACACAAAATACCTTTTATACACTAATATATATAAGAGGAATAAAATTTCTACTAGAGAAAAAATGTTTCAGAAAAGAAAAAAGAAATACTTTTTTTTTGTTTCATGAAAACTATTTCATAATATTAACATTATTTATTTTTAAAATATAAATAAATAACTTATAATTTATTTGAAATTTGCATGCATAATTGTAAAACAATATCATAAGATTCAGGTAGTATAACTGTATAAGACTTGTTCAATTTGTATTTTTATAATAAAAAAAATACTAAAGACTCATTTAAACATACAACTTTAAGAATTTTTCATTAAGTTCTTATTATAAAAGAGCATATAAGAATTTATATTGTAAGTGCTTAAAATTGTATAAGTTATTTGCATTTAAATATATATGTTGTTAAGTGTTTACACAAATTTTAAGTTTTTGAATATAATGTTACATAAGTGCTTAAGATGTCTTATTTTAAAAAATTAAACCATCATTTAAAAATAAATTTAATATTTAAAAACTAAGTAAATAATTTACTTACATAATATATATCACAAAAATATTAAAACAAAAATTACCGGTCACAACTTACTTATTTTTTGCTTTTAAGACCATAAATTTAAGTATCATAAATTAAAGAAAAAATATGTGCCACCCACAAAAAAAATAAATTTATCACTAATTTAAAAAATTAAAGTATTTACAAATCTAAATACAATTAAAAATAAATTAACGTTTTAAAATTAAAATCATATATATATATATATATTATAAATAAATTATATAAGTTTAAAAAATTCACCATTCACGTGTAAATAAATATAAATATATAAAAATGTGATATCATCATAAAAATTTCATCTCTACACAAAAGAAAACAAATAAAAAATTAATTACTAACAACATATAAAATAAATTACTAGCAACATAAAGAATGTTCTTTTATTTATTGTTAGTATATTTTTAGTGAACAAGTAGGAAACATGTAAAAATAAATAGACTTATTACTAAGGAATAATTATAATTTGTTTTGCATAGAAGTTAATATTTACATCGATGAGTGAAGAAACGGAAAAATGAAATATTTAACTCGTGGTAAAAACAAAACTTGCATGCTTTATATTTTTTGCCTGGTAGTACTAGTATTTGAAATGGGTTTTTTCATAAGCTCCCATCAGCTATTCTTGTCATCTATATTAGGAAACTTATAAAAATAAACTAAAAACATTTTATTATAAGATATTTTTATAAATTTTCTCAAACAGTCATAAAACTTATAACATAAGTTAAAATAAGCTATTTATAAGTTGCGAGACCTAAATAAAACATATAAATCTGTTCGGATACAAGTTAAAATTCACTTTTGAAATAACTGTACCCATTCATTCACATGTATTACTAAAACAGAAGTTGGAGAATCAATCATCAATCATATATGCCTAAAGGAAGCTTATACCTGTACAATAAAAGAAATAAACTGCCTTGTGTAGGAGATGGATTAGCTCTTATTTTATGGAACCCAGATGAGAATTCCATGATAATATGATATCACAGAGAAATCAACCATGTATTCTTACAAGTTCTGAAAAATCAAAATTCTGAACAACAAGGGATAATTAATAGAAGACACTGGCATTGTGATCCAACCCAGCTGCCATGATAAGGGGACTAAGAACAGTTTGAAAAGGGAAAAGAAAATAACAAAAAAAAAAAGGGGGAGGTTTGCTTGTTTTTGTGTATTGTTCTGTCATGGGAGGTGTACATCATATGACATTTCTGACAAACTCCATAACCTGATTACAAGTCTCAAAATCACAAAGAAAGAGAACCTATATTTCACTCAAGCTCAATCAACCCTTGTAAAAGGCCTTTGTAAGTGCTCTATGCATTTGTAAGTTATTGAACACAACCAAACCAACTAGCTCTAACGAAATTTTTGAAGCACTAAAGTATCTCCAATCTTGAAACAATAAAAATTCTGCTTTCCACATTCATTCATGTTCTGCACCAGACATGCGTCACTGAAACATTAGAACATCCACAGCATAATCTTCCTAGGCAGCAATTCCTGAAGAAAAACATGTTTAACAGCGGATTAATACGTGCAAGCTTGGTATTGCAATAACTTCTGATTCAAATAAAAGAACATATATATTTAATTAAGCATCCAATAAAGTAATTCGAAATGATAGGAAGTCAGCACCCCCCCCCCC